AACTTGTTTAAAATGTAACTTGATTTGGTCTATTTATTAAAAAGGACACATAATTGATCTTTTAAAAACGTTTTTTTAACTAAAGATATCAAACTTCAAACTATTATAAAAAATTTAGTAGATTTGATAGATTGGCCTATTTAATGTATTAGATATTTATATTATATGTTATTTTATAATTAATATTTGTGTAATATATAATTATTAATGATAGTATTTTTAATAAATAAATTGTAATTTGAAATTTGAATACTTGAATCCTCCATGACTTCTTAGGTCTAATAGTCTCGTAGGGTTAATTTCAATAAATAAATAAGTTATTATATTATTATTTCCATTATTAATTTTAATAAAGCATGAACAATTTAAGTTATGAATAAGGCCTATTAATCTATTTGGGCCCATTTACCTATTTGGACCTATAGGGTTATTGTTGTCATTATAGGCTTTATATGGAATAAAGTACTATAAATAAGATTTTAAATCGGGTTAGATCAGATCTTTAAAAAATATTTATAAAATAAATAAATTAAACTCGAATTTAGATTTTATACTATAGGCCAAGTTTACACTTCTCAAAGTCTATCCTAATTTGATCTATTTTTATTAGCAGTCCTTGAAATTAGAGGAATATCAAATATTTAGTAATTTTCTGATAGTAAAATTCTTGACAGTTTAGTTTTTAATATGTACAACTTATTATTGTTATAATTCCTAAATTTTATAACTTATTTTGTCTCATAATTAGTGTTGTATTTTAAAAAAGATAAGTTTCAAAATAAGTGTTATGTTAATTTTTAATATATTATTAATTACTTATTTTTTATTTATATCTCTCATAATATTCTTTAGAAAATGACTTTTATATTACATTGTTTAAAAAAAAATTAATTATAAGGTTATTTTTATAAAATTATTATTTATTTGTTTATTTATTAACTTTTCTTAATATGTGTAAGATGATATTTATTATAAATCGGAAGGAGTAGTCCATAATACAATTAACAATGGACTAACACGGTAAACAAAATCCACTTAATTTCAAGAACATTTAGATTATTATTTTTTTTATCTAAGTACTAAGTGCCTACTAACTTTAAGGATTATTATTATTAATGAATCTTAAACACTCGCTGACCGTATATTTAGATGCACTCTTTCACTCAAAGTTTCTCTCTCTCTTTTTTTTTGTTTTTTTTTTTGGTTTCAACTCCTTCACTTTATTTGATTTAAAAAGAAAAGAAGAAGGAGAAACTTATATATATAAAAATGATAAAACAATAGAGTAAATCAAGAATAATGTTTGTGTTGTTCAAAATAGTGAGTAGGAAGTAGGATGCAGGGTCATAAATAAGAAGCATCTGAAGGTCTACGAAATACATGTAGGAGGGGGTGTCCTTATTAGGCCTCTATTCCTCTGCATGTGTGGCCAAGCAACCCTAGTAGGAATGATACAATGTGGCAGGACACATCTCAGATAATTGTTTAGCCTAATTTTCACAATATTGCTGCTCACAATAGCTAGGTATGAATCTGAATATGATGTATCATCACTCAAAAACACATGCTCTACAACCTACCCTTGCATTGATTAGTCAATCCCAATCACCTGATCAAATGACTCTAAACTCTAATGCCAAACAATCTGATTCATTGGGCCAATGCAACTCTGAAACGTTATCATCTTGCTCAACCCTCACATTCATCTATTAATTAATATAAATAATAATAATTTACATCTCTTAATCAAATTTTACAATATTTTAATTTTAATTTTAAATATGAAAAATATTATATTAAAAGAAAATTATTTATTTTATATATACTTAAAATATTCAAAAGAAATTAATTACTACTTTTAATAATAGATACATTCTATCGAAATAATAGTTAGAGAAAAAAAAAATCATGAATCATGTAATGATACATCATATTAGATATGCTCAACACTAACACTACCTGCTCAACACCATTATTGATCGATTAATTAAGAAAGAGT